TACCAAATAGATAATATTATTTTTATTATACTTATAATACTAAATTAATTATAACACAAAGTTAAACTAATGCAGTTTAAAATTTAAATTACTTTTCAAAATCTTTTGAATTTAAAATTGTACTGTGATCTTAAAAAATAGTTTAATTTTCAATTGAATTAAACTGACTTTATTTAACTATACGATTTATTTTGTTAGTTTATATGTTGTTAACTTTAAAATTAGGGTACTACATTTACGATGGATCCAAGTAATTACTAAAATGTATTCTTAACTCCTATTTGTAAAAATAAATAATTATTTTCCACTAAAGCTTTTTTATAATTCACGAAGAATTTTATATACAGTATATTTTAATGATAGTAAATAGAATATATTGTAATAATAATAAATTTTAATATCACAGGAATCTACTTTATACAAATTTTCATGGAAGAAATAATAAATGTCATGAGATATTTAATGCTTTATAAATAAAGATTTTGATTATTCACATTTTTGGAACCAATGATATATTTCCGTAAAAATACAGTCCGGAAATATACAATCCGGCTCTTCACTTTCCGCGATTATACGTTCCGTCATTCTACGGTCTGTTATTTGTCTTTCCGTCAATATAAGGTCCGGCATTGTACTTTCCTTCGTTCTACGGTCCGTAAATATTAGTTCAGAAATATTACTTTCCGTTATTATACATTCCGGTAATATTTTTTCCGTACTTATATAGCCCCCCGTACATAATACATTTTTGTGACATTGTACTTTTCTATAACTTACATCGAAATATTTTAAGAATTATTTTAAAGTAACATATTCACCAAAGTTATTTTTGTAAAAAAATCGAAAAATGTTAGTTCTCTTAAAGGCGTTATGACAATTATTATAATAATACACTTTAAAGGTGAACTTTATAAGTTTAAAAATATCTTATTAAAATTTTTTTTCACAGCTTTGCAAACATGTAAATCTCTAAGTGGATATAAATTATAATTTATGCGATAATTATCGCAGTTATTATTGAATTTCATACTATATATTTCCTATCATTTAAAATCATTTAAAATCATCTAGTATTGAAGACTATATAAATTGCATGATTTAGATTCATTTATATATTTTTTAAGTTTTCAAAAAACTATTTCCAGTATATTCAGGAATGTATTCTGCCCAAGTATATTGAATTTAAACTTCAAATGACATTTCATCAAAAAAATTTCAACTTATATTTACTACCTGTAAAACTAAAAATATGCTTAATTCTTCTGAAAATGTTATAATTTTGCAGAGCCTAAATATAAAAGAAATTTGAATGTTTTTCGTTTTTAAATATAATAACTTTATTCAATATTTGCATTTTTTGAAAATGATATAATAACATTAAATAAGTTTTTGTGGTAAATGGTTTTTTGATTTAATAACGTTATTCTAGTATTTTTTTAAAGTTTTCTATAATGTTATTTCATTTTAGCTTCAATGTGCACCCGAAAAGCTATTGGTTTTACCCTGCTATATTATTATTATTATTTTTAATAAACATAATTACTCAGTTTTTGTAATAAATAGAAAAAAGGACGGAAAGTAAAGGTATCATAAGGGTTATATGTATAAGAATACGAGATAAAATTTAAGTTGGGTTTTAATTTTTTTCAAAATAAACGGTCTGAAAGGCAAGAACGACTGTTGAGGGTTTACAACTTTTAAATAAGTATTAGCTTACTCTCATTTTGGAGTTGCGTAGGAGACGAGAAGGAAAGAACTCAGAAGAAAAGAAAAGAAGTTCAGATCTGCTCACGGAATTCATGGAAATCGTGGAGAAATTTGTTTTATAGACACATTCTAAAATTGCCCATGTGTTAGGCAATACGAATAAAAGAGCAATGTTATTCATGAAAGTATTATTGAAGTTTATGAACTTATGAAAGAGAAAACTAGTCACAGTGTAGATATCATTACTATTATAAATGAACTTTTTTTAGAGGTTGACGGTTGGAACTTGGCCCTTTTTCACAGTTAGGCATTCATTAAGATCATATATACTAATGTACAATATAATTAAAGAAACGATGATCTGAATGTTATTTTAGATGGAATATACACTCATCTAGATAAATTTATACAATGTTTTTACTAAATTGCTCACAAAATAATTTTAAAATTATTTTCGTATATTTTTAGTTACATATTATTTTTTAATTATTAGATATATTTCTTTTTAAATTTTATTATGTCTTGTAAGGGTGTCTACTTTGTTTTTAAGTTTCTTTAAATTTTAACATAACTTTATTCGATTATTATATATAAAAGTTCCAAATTATCGAGTTAATATACTCGTATAATAAATGTAGAATTACAAATATATGTAGCTAATTGGTTTTTTATGACCAATTACATCATATAGCGTTTATTGGAAAATCTTATAAAAGCGTCGCCATAACGACAAACGGCGACAAACAGTTGCATATCTTCCGTCGCGTTGGGGTATTTTGTTAGTAATTTTGGAGTTAAAGTTCCTCAGGCTTATATTCCAAAATAAAATATTCGAACGATGTATCACTGACGTGAACGGCTTGAAACTGGACAATAACAAGAAGTAATAGTCGGTGTATCCGCTTTGAATCGCTGACCAAGAGCGACTGAATCATTTTTATCTGTTGAAAATTGGCGACTGAAACGAATCCCATTACGCGTGCATTACGGAAGCTCGTGCGCATCCAAAGTACTCAAATCATGTTCTCGTATACACTTGAGAAAAAGTGGTCTATGACTTGCGCTGGGGACTTTAACGCAATGTCCGCTGTAGCAGATCGACATGACAAATAACTGATGTCGATAGTTTTCGTTCGCCAATAACAGAACCATAACGACAACAAATAAAAAACGAGATAAAAAATGTCAGCAAAAATATATGACCCTAGTGGTAGTACTAACATTAATTGCCAAATAAACATTTCCGAAAGAAATCAAATAAAATAAAACCTTTATTCTCATTATATTTATAATTACAAAAATAAAAAAATATAGTCCAAAAATACTATTATATGTAAAAATTTTAATTTATCTTTTATTTTTTCATAAACCCAATTAATATATTTTTTATTTTTATAAATTTATATTTTTAAAAACCCAGCACAGGGGGGTCGCGGCACAGTGGTGACGTGGCATAGTTGGATCAAGTATAATGATATCTGACAGTGATTAAAATCACTATCAAAAAAAAACGCTTCGATGCAAATCTTTAGATAGTGTTTAATTTTAAAAAATTGGTGGATTATTCCAAAGGCTTCATAAACTGCTAGTTCCTTATTAATATCCTGATTAAGATAAAGTATGTCGAATGAAAAAGTGATTATTAAAAAATAGTATTTCTCATAAAAAAATTGTATTGATGAATACACTTTTCAATAAGTTATAGCATTATAAAGTTAAAAATATAAAAAAGAATTTTTTTACAAAAATCGTATTTTTATCATTGAGTTTAATGTCTGTTTTTACCATGAAGATAAAATAAAGTCAGAAATTTTTTTTTACCATTANGAAGACAAGTCCAGAGGTCAAATTTTTTTTTTTCAAATTAAAGTATATTACATTAGCTTTAATTTAAGATATATATAAAAGTGTCAGACCTTCCGGAACACTTTCAAAAGTTAAGTTGAAAAAGTTCTACTATTGTGAAAAAGTTGTCATTTTGAATCCCCCCCTGTAGGCAGGTAAAAAGTCAGATTTATAAAAAAAATATACCAAATGATAGGTAAAGACATCATGCATCTACAAAAAAAAGAATTATATTGATCCATACATCTTTCGAGAAGTTATAGCATTATAAAGTTAAAAATATAAAAAAGAATTTTTTTACAAAAATCGTATTTTTTTTATTAAGTTTAATGTCTGTTTTCACCATGAAGATAAAATAAAGTCCGAAATTTTTTTTTTCCATGATAAAGTATATTACATTAGCTTTAATTTAAGATATATATAAAAGTGTCAGACCTTCCGGAACACTTTCAAAAGTTAAGTTGAAAAAGTTCTACTATCTATATGCATTTTTATGTTTTGAATCCCCCCTGTATTAAGGGAAATGGTTCGTTTAAAAAAAAAAGTATGTCGAATGAAAGACCTATATAAATACTACTTCTCATAAAAAAATTGTAATGATCCATACATTTTTCAAAAAGTTATAGCATAATAAAGTTAAAAATGTAAAATACAAAATCGAAAATTTTCAAACAAAAATAGCATTCGGTAGCCATTTTCACCCTGAAGATAAAACAAAGTCCGAAATTTTTTTTTCTCATAATAAAGTAGATTACATTAACTTTAATTTAAGATATAAATAAAAGTGTCAGACATTCCGGAAACTTTCAAAATTTAAGTTGAAAAAGTAAATTTTTTGTGAAAAAGTTGTCATTTTAAATCCCCCCCTGTGGGCAGGTAAAGAGTCAGATATAAAAAAAATATATACCAAATGATAGGTAATAACATCATGCATCTATAAAAAAAAGAATTATATTGATATGTTTATTTTTAAAAAATTTACGGCAGTTTTTAGTAAAAAAAATTGAAAAAATTTCGAAAATAAGCCATTTTTAAATTTGTATTTTTTTCGGAGGTTTCCCCCATTTACGGGGAACGAGGGAATTTTTTTCAATTTGTGAGGATAATGTCTTCAACTAGATACGATTTGACGTATCATTGAAAGAAATCGGTTCGGTGAGAGCTGAGAAAAAGTGGCAACAGACAAAAAAAAAAAAAAAAAAACACATCTTAGTAAAACCAATACCTTCTCAGCTTCGCATCGAAGCTAAAAGAATAATGATAATCATTAGTATATTAAGTATTATATCAATTTATTGTCTAATTATTAAATTAATTATAATACACTTTCATACATTTTATATTAATCACTAATTATATTTTAATTTATAACATTTTAATCACATTTTTATCATTTTTGTTTACCCACAAATTTATTATTATAAGACATAATTCTTTGGCTTCAGGGAAAAAGGGCTTATGTCAATTTTTGGCATTTTTTTTTTATAATTTTGTCATATGTAGTTTTTTTTACCCTTTTTTTTGGTCTAGATGGCATAAGTGTATGTGTATTCTAGCACATATTATAGCAAAAATAAAAATATCCTAAGTCACTATGACGTTTAATTTGTTTAGCAAAAAAGGCGTAAGTCATTACTATGACTTAAGACATTTAGAACGTAAATAAATATATTTTTTTAACTGTCAAAATTGACTTATGTTGACTTAAGTCTTATGAATCAAGATTGATAAGCAAAATATTGTTACTGATAAACGTGATATCATTCTACGGTCGACATATACTAATTATAGTATTAACTGTTTATCTAGCATGTTTTGTGTGTACTTTATGTTAATTTTGAGTACTTTGTTTTTGGTTATTTTGTTTGTGTTCAGATTTTGGTGAGATAGTGTTATTTACAAGTTACAACGGTTGTTTCTTTAATTAAATAATTTATTATAAGTATTCACTAGTAGGTAATTAAAATACACAAATAATAATAATATAATGAAGCGTCGTACGTTAAATATGGTTCAAATGGCTGAAAAAAATGAAACAATCTCCCATTCTAATAAGATTTTTAAAATAATTTTTTTATTTTTGTGTTTATTACATTAAATTTTGTTCTACAATTTAATTAGATAACAATATCACCAATAATCAAAATGAAGAATATAATTCTAGCAATAGTAAAGTTCAACTTTGGATTTCTAGTCATCAATAGCATTTGTATATGGGTAAGTTAAACAATAATATGTAGATAGGTATACTTAAATTAACTTCATAATTTATTTCCTTTACATATTTTATAAATAAATATCATAATAAACATTTATGTATAATTTTTTTTTTTAAATCAATTTTTTGTACCTATATATTAATTTTAGTTGAAGTTATGAAATACATTTTAAATTGAGTTATGGTTTACAATTAATAATAAATAGTAAATCTCATATGTACTTTTTAGCTTCGATGCGAAGCTGAGAAGGTATTATTTTACTATGATGTGTTTTTTTTTTTTTTTTTTTTTTTTTTTTTTTTT